GAGAACTATAACCATAAGGTATGCCCATTCAGAACAGTTGATCGATCAAATGAGGTCATCCGCAATCATTTACTCTAAGGTAGACGAAACATCTCTTTCGGCCATAGGAATGGGATGTGGCTAAACGATAGCTACGTGTTTAGAATCCTGCTTCAAATGTATACAGTGAATGAAGGAGCGAGCCCGCCCTATTGACTTTTCATACAGCTTCGTGTACTTTGTTGGGTGGATAGGTTGATCACCATGATATGCATAGGAGATAGGGACGACGTAACTCTCAGTACAACCATTGCAAATCGTCTAAGTAATTGACGGTTATTTCCTCGGATGACGTAAACAGCAACTGACGCTTTAATATCCCCAAGTTGCAGGATAGCCAAAAGAAATCCTCACATTTCTACAGTGGATTTTGTATAACTGTCAAACCAGTAAAATGAAGTAGGCAAGGCTATTTCATATCATGAAAACTAATTGGAACTATCGTACTAGGAGGCAAGGAGTCGACTTCCACGTTAACATGTTTTGTTATGCCGTATACACCTATTGCTGCAATACGAAGGTCAGGAATTGGGCGTTTAGGCTCTTCACAAGAAGGACCATAATAATGCATGATACTGTTATTATCGATAGAAAATACATTTTCGGTACACTGCACGGACAAGTCCGTATAAGATCCTGCAGGAAGTAATTGAGAAACATATCCTAAACGACAACAACGAATATAAGTCTCCCGCTTACCACACCTTTTGCAGTGCTATTCGATTGCAAAGCATTTGGCAAAATTGGCCTTATGCTGTAGGCTGCCGCAGAGAAAGCATTTCTGTGTAGTTTAGGATTTGATTGGCGCACGAAAACTTTTAGCAATCTCCTGTATGCCTTTTTGTGCAGCAAAACATCGCGATTGTTCTGCAGCATCCGTTTTAAAGCAAAAAATTTCCACTGCCTTGTCCCAAGTTAATTTCGTGGCGTTTTCGGAGAGTAGAGATTCCCGAATGCTACTGTTTGTTATTCCACAGATCAGCTGTTGCACCGGAAACTCCTCGCTTTTGTTTTTCGGTACGGAGGACTACGCACAGGGACGTACACCGCGAATGAGGTGACTAACGAAACCTTCCAAGGATTCTGATGGTTATTGGGTAAGTCGTTTAAATTCGAATCCAACTGTGAAAACAATTGTACGCCGACCTCATGACTTATCCAACACCAGCGCTTTCGTAAGGTATCTTAAGACTGGAACTCCAAGGCATCATATTGGCGTTGTCATTCCTTATCGAGTAGGTAGGTGATAAATTTCAATCAATCACTCACACACACTGAAGCTTTGTACCGTGCCGCTTCGTTACATAAACGTGCATTGACAATGTCACCTCGACTGGTGACGGAACAACCTGAGCAACCAAGATTTGCTTTTACTGTTCACTCAGTTTTAGTCAGTTAACTGTGAGATTGGTGCTATTGCTGTTTCAGCAAGTGACAGTATACGTGATTAGAGTCACTCAATATTTGGTACAAAATATGGGTTCGCCGCGTAGCCTACGGTAGCGTTCACCGAAAATTCCCAATGACTTCAATCTTTGCTGCTGGGATAGATTTCGTAGACGCTTGACGTACTTTGTAACCCTGCATTGTGTTGTCCAGCAGCTTCAGGTCGAGCGTCAACCAAAGTATCCAAGCTTCGTTATTATATTCAAGTTGAGGGCGCACTTAACATTCCCGAATTCCCTCCGCAGCAGGCTGACGTGCTAGTCGTTTCTTTTCGCAGCTGCCTCCAACTGTTTTGCGCAGTTAAGGTCGCTTTGCATGAGCACACCAAGATCGCGTTCCCGGGAAGTGGTATGTAGTATGTGTGACCGAAGCAAGTACACGTAGGCATGCTCATGGCGTAACTGAACAGTGTGAGATTTTTCCACCTTGAATGGTGGAGTATTTCGATCTGACAAGTTCGAAATCGTGCTGAGATCACCCTAAAACTCTTCTTGGTCGCCCGGTTCTCTGATCGCTCGCGATATCTTGATATCATCAGCGAAGAATAGGCAAGCGGAAGCATTGATTACACCAGATCGTTTAGGCAAACTAAAAACAGACGAGGCTGTAGCACGGAGTCTTGGGTTACAACGCAATCCACCTCAGTTGCCTTGAAGGGGATTCTCGTATTCTCACCTCCAACCGAGGTTCGTGCAGGAAATTGCTTATCCTACGAAGGAGTGGGTCACCAATGCCATTGATCTGAAGTTTATGGAGGAGAAATCGGTGTTCTCTGCGATCAAATGCTTTTGAGAAGTCCAGCTAAAAGATATCGAATCCTGATCTACCATCAACTGCTTCAGTCCAGCTATTGCGTGCAATTAACAGGTTCGTAGTCAATGAGCAGTTTTATCGGAATCCCTGTTGTTCTGGTGCTGTTATGCTGTGGCTTTCCAGATACCGCATTAGTGCACCATAATTTGGGAAAGCAAAAGTAGTAGCGTTATCCGACGGTAATTGGCAGGTTCAGTTAGGCTGCCTCCCTGATGAATAGACGTGATGACCCGTGGCTTCCATATTGCTGCAAGTTGGTTCTCCTCTAGATAACGCTGACGGAAAATAGCGAAACGTTCTGCTAGACCACTGGCTACTGCCTGCAGAGCCTTCAGTCGACACATGAAGAGCTGTGGATAAGCACGAACAATAGCTTCTCTGACACAGCTTCTGCAGTAAAAGTGATGTTGGATTAAGCTGACGCTGGGTAATAGAAACAGCGATAATCATTAGGCTAGTTACTCTGGAACGTTTGTGAGTAATGGAACCGTAAAATGTCGGCTGGTTCCGCTACTGATGGCGTGCACCCGTCTGCCGGAACCAGTGCTGGAATTCCGAGCTACACCTTTCGAATGCTATTAACATGACTTCACCGGAGGTGCAATCTTCAATATTGCCGCAAATCAGCACTGGTGCTGAAGTATTGAAAACCACCTCCCGCTTCTGCTACCTTGGGAGTGTGATGTCGACTGATCAGCAGCTACACGTTGAGTTGCGTAATCGCGTGTCGAAGGCGGCAGCGGCATTCGGGAAGCTTGAGTACCGAGTGTGGAACAACCATCAGCTTAGCATTGGCACGAAGCTGATGGTGTACAAATCCATGGTACTGTCCGTTCTTCTATACGGCAGTGAAACGTGGACCATGTACCGTCGGGATGTGCGATATCTCGAGCGGTTCCATCAGCAGTGTGTGCGACGAATTTTGCGCATTGGTTGGGGCGCCAGAGTTGCAGACACGGAGGTTTTGCGCCTAAGTGGGATGTATGCAGTGGACTGCATACTTTTATTGAGACACCTGAGATGGCTCGGTCATGTGAGCCGTATGGATTCGACGCGGATACCGAAACAACTTTTATACGGTCAGCTGAGTATAAGGAAGCTGCACTTGGGGAAACCAAAGTTACGTTACCAGGACATGATTAAAGTGAGCCTCACACGTTCTAATCTTGATTGCAGATCATGGGAATCGAAGGCGGTTGATCGTGGTGCATGGTGCGATCTAATCACGAAGGCAGTTGCTGAAGTGCGGGAGAAAGCCATCATGCATGCAGAGAAGAAGCGGCAGTTGCGGAAGCGGCAAGCACCAATGAATTGTACTCCATCGACATTGAGCGCATTGTGCTGTAGAACATGCGGTCGCGAGTGCCTTAGTCAGGCAGGCCTAGTGAGCCATGAAAGAGGTCACTCGGGACCACTGCCAAAGCGACGACGGGTCCCGCAGTGAACGTAGGCAGCACCGGCGCAGCGTTTTTAGGCACGCTGAATCCGATTTACTAACCGCGTGCTTGCATGCTAAGTCGCTTTATTTCAGGTGGTGGGTTTTCGGTTCTCTCCTAATGACGAACACTTTCACGTCGACAAATTCAGCACTGGCTATATCGATGCATGTCTAGCGGAGCTGATAGAGCTGTGCACATTTGGGTCTGGGAGTCCGACAGTACGAGACAGGAGACGACGTTCCTATGCGGGCTGTCGCCTTGCATTCGACTGGACCCACGCTTGTACGGCGAGTACCTCAGCAGCCATTTAACCCCGCCGATGACAGACGTCTTAGGCACGCTGCCGAAACACACTTCCGGTAAACAAGAATCAGAATCGATTATACGTCGTGGACTTGAGCGGCATAGCCAGTACGCGAGTCCACTCGTGTGTATCTATTCTAGCCCGGTAGCGGCTGGGTTTCACCAGTTCCTGTCGATCCAGTCTTACGAGTCGCGTTTGTTCATAGCTCATCACTAATGGAAAATTATCTGCTCACGTGTTGACTCTTATTCCCATTTAACCCTTCGGACCCAGACACGATCGCTATTCAGGGACCAACGGTCTATTCATATCTCGCAGTTTGTTGAGTCCATAGTCAGTTTATTGTGACGTCATTGTATTCCGTGGCAGCTGCCTCATCAGTGCTAGACATCTACTTGATCCAACCTTCGCCGGTCGCCTAATGGCGACATCGCGGCACCTCGTAGCCGCTGAATCAGAGCCAACTCCTACGGTGAAGCGTTGTGAACAGGCACACAATGCTCGGATTATCATAGGTGCTAGTCATAGTGCTAACAGCAGAGCACTGTTGAGCGGTAACTTTATTCAGTCGGCCTATTCCTGTTGTTTAGGGACGACTATGTCTCTTGATGATCATACTACCCACCTAGGTACTCGCAGCTTACGCTACCATCATCGTTTTGCGTGACTACGCTGGTTGCCATCCGGACACCAGCAATGCTTCGCCAATAACAAACGCTCTTCAAGTGTTCATGATCAAGAAAGGACTTGAAGGCTCCGTTGCTCTGTGCAGCCGTTCTTAGACCGATTCCACCTGTGGGTGTGCCAAGTTTCGCTGCGACTTGACCATAGTAGGCCAGACACGGCCCTCACGTGTGGAGCCCGCAGTAGTAGGTTGACTCCTCTCTCACGGTCACTCTTCGTTTCATCTCCACCCCCCCCCCCCCCCCCCCACGACGATAATCCCTACCCCTCTTAATATGCACCCACTCGCGCCCCCCCACCCCACCCACACGGATACCAACACACCGCCCCTCCCCGCCGCCTCCCCCCTTAATCCCCCCCCCCCCCCCCAGCCCCACGCGCCGCAGCTACCTATATCACTTCTCTTTGTCGTGTTTAGTCCCTCAATATTGGATAACCCCCCCACTCCGCCCACCCGTCTGTGGTATGACCTGACCTACCCGGCCCACCCAGCCATACGTCGCTATAATGCCGCCACCCCCCCGGTCTCAGATTAGCGCTTGGCTTGCCCCCTCTCCCTCCGTGTCGTTTGCGCTGCTATGTGCGACAAGCCTTCAGGCAATAAGCCGTGAAGGTATCCGTCGCTGGGCCGGCTATCTCGTTTGCATGCAAAACGGCTGGTGTTCGCATGTTCCGCATCGCACGTCTCGGACCTCTTCTTCTGTAGTGCTATACGGTGACCATGTCTTTGACACCCTGAGTAGTACTGAGCTAAAAGCGATGTGTTGGCACTCGTGTGCCGCCCTGCGTCCGCAGCGGAGAGCCATCGTGCATAAGTAAGTCCGATATATTGTAGGCGCAGAGCGTCACTGTGGGAAGTGTGCCTCTCGTGTCTGACACCTA